GGATGATAGCGGGGTGAACAGGCAGTGGCTCGGGTGGTTGATGTCCTTGATGATCTTTTTGGCCTTCCTGTGACATCGGGTGCTGTATGTGTCTTGGAGGGCGGGTAGTTTGCCCCCGGTAATGCGTTCGGCAGACCACACCACCCTCTGGAGAGCCCTACGGTTGTGGGCGGTGCAGTTGCCGTACCAGCCGGTGATACAGCCCGACAGGATGCTCTCAATTGTGCATCTGTAAAAGTTTGTGAGGGTTTTAGGTGATAAGCCAAATTTCTTCAGCCTCCTGAGGTTGAAGAGGTTCTGTTGCGCCTTCTTCACCACACTGTCTGCGTGGGTGGACCACTTCAGTTTGTCGGTGATGTGTACGCCAAGGAACTTGAAGCTTTCCACCTTCTCCACTGCGGTCCCGTCGATGTGGATTGGGGGGTGCACCCTCTGCTGTTTCCTGAAGTCCATGATCATCTCCTTTGTTTTGTTGATGTTGAGAGGCTATTTTCCTGGCACCACACTCCCAGAGCCCTCACCTCCTCCCTGTAGGCGGTCTCGTCATTGTTGGTAATCAAGCCTACTACTGTTGTGTCGTCTGCAAACTTGATGATTGAGTTGGAGGCGTGCTTGGCCATGCAGTCATGGGTGAACAGGGACTACAGGAGGGGGCTGAGCACGCACCCTTGTGGGGCCCCAGTGTTGAGGATCAGCAAAGTGGAGACGTTGTTTCCTACCTTCACCACCTGAGGGCGGCCCGTCAGGAAGTTCAGGACCCAGTTGCACAGGGCGGGGTTCAGACCCAGGGTCTCGAGCTTAATGATGAGCTTGGAGGGTACTATGGTGTTGAATGCTGAGCTATAGTCAATGAACAGCATTCTTACATAGGTATTCCTCTTGTTCAGATGGGATAGGGCAGTGTGCAGTGTGATGGCAATTGCATCGTCTGTGGATCTATTGGGGTGGTAAGCAAATTGAAGTGGGTCTAGGGTGACAGGTAAGATAGAGGTGATATGATCCTTGACTAGTCTCTCAAAGCACTTCATGATGACAGAGGTGAGTGCTACAGGGCGATAGTCATTTAGTTCAGTTACCTTTGCTTTCTTGGGTACAGGAACAATGGTGGCCCTCTTGAAGCATGTGGGAACAGCAGACTGGGAAAGGGAGAGATTGAATATGTCCATGAACACACCAGCCAGCTGGTCTGCGCATGCTCTGAGGACGCAGCTAGGGATGCCGTCTGGGCCGGCAGCCTTGCGGGGGTTAAAATGCTTAAATGTCTTAATCACGTCGGCCATGGAGAAGGAGAGGCCACAGTCCTTGGTAGTGGGCCTCGTCAGTGGCACTGTGTTATCCTCAAAGCGGGCGAAGAAGGTGTTTAGCTTGTCTGGAAGCAAGACGTCGGTGTCGGCGACGTGGCTGGTTTTATTTTTGTAGTCCGTGATTGTCTGTAAACCCTGCCACATACGTCTCGTGTCTGAGCCGTTGAATTGCAACTCCACTTTGTCTCTATACTGATGTTTTGCCAGTTTAATTGCCTTGCGGAGTGAGTAGCTACACTGTTTGTATTCTGCCATATTCCCAGTCGCCTTGCCATGGTTGAATGCGGTTGTTCGCGCTTTCAGATTTGCGCGAATGCTGCCGTCCATCTACGGTTTCTGGTTAGGGTAGGTTTTAATAGTCACAGTGGGCACAACATCACCTATACACTTCCTGATAAACTCAGTCACTGTTTCAGTGTATATGTCTAAATTATTTTCGGAAGCTACCCGGAACATATCCCAGACCGCGTGATCAAAACAATCTTGAAGCGTGGATTCCGATTAGTCAGACCAGCGTTGAATAGTCCTTAGCACGGGTACTTCCTGTTCGAGTTTCTGCCTATAGGAAGGGAAAAGCAAAATGGAGTCGTGGTCAGATTTGCCGAAAGGAGGGCGGGGAAGTTTGAATAGCAATGGTCGAGGATTTTAGCAGCGCGAGTACAACAGTCGATATGTTGATAGAACTTCGGCAGCCTAGTCCTCAAATTTGCTTTGTTAAAATCCCGGCTACAATAAATGCAGCCTCAGGATATGTGGTTTCCAGTTTGCATAAGGTCCAGTGAAGTTATTTGAGGGCCGTCGTGGTATCGGCTTGAGGGGGGATATACACGGCTGCTATAACCGAATAAAATTATCTTGGGAGATAATACGGTCGGCATTTGATTGTGAGATATTCTAAGTTGGGTGAACAGAAGGACTCGAGTTCCTGTATGTTACTACAATTACACCACGAGTCGTTAATCATGAAACACACACCTCTGCCCTTCTGCTTCTCAGAGAGATATTTATTCCTGTCTGCGCGATGAACTGAGAACCCATCTGGCTGGACCGATTCCGACAGAATATCCCAAGAGAGCCATGTTTCCGTGAAACAGAGTATGTTACAGGCCTTGATGTCTCTCTGGAAATAAATCCTTGCCTGTAGTTTGTCGACTTTGTTAACCATAGATTGAACATTAGCGAGTAAAATACTTGGAAGCGGTGGGTGGTGTGCGCGCCTCCTAAGTTGGACCAGCAGGCCGCTCCGAGTGCCTCTCCTCCGCCGGCGATGTTTTGGGTCAGCCGCTGGAATCAGTTCAGTTGCCCTGGGGAGAGCAAACAAAGGATCTGCTTCCTGGTCGTAATGCTGGTGAGTTACCGCCGCTCTGATATCCAATAGTTTTTCCCGGCTGTATGTAATGATGCAAAACACTTTCTGAGCTAATAATGTAAAAAATAATACATAAAAAAACAAAATACTGCAAAGTTTCCTAAGAGCTAGTCGCGAGGCCGCCATCTTCGTCGGCGCCAGTATGTGTGGAACATTTGGACAGTGTCGGGCAGCTTCGGAGTGTCGGGGCATTTCCCTCACAAGGCAAAATGGGACGTGGAATGTCTCCACTGTAATGGAATGGAATTGGAGTCATGAGGAGGGCTAGGATATACTGAACTCTTGGGCTGATAGTCCCAACATGACCATGCTATCCAATCCCTGGACAGGAGGGCCACACATTATTACATAGATGAAAACCTAAACATTACATTTACATTTTAGTCATTTAGCAGACGCTCTTATCCAGAGCAACTTACAATTAGTGAATACATATTTTTTTTTTATACTGGCCCCCCGTGGGAATCGAACCCACAACCCTGGCGTTGCAAACGCCATGCTCTATCAACTGAGCTACATCCCTGCCGGCCATTCCCTCCCCTATCCTGGACGATGCTGGGCCAATTGTGCGCCACCCATGAGTCTCCCGGTCGCGGCCGGCTGCGACAGAGCCTGGATTCGAACCAGGATCTCTAGTGGCACAGTTAGCACTGCGATGCAGTGCCTTAGACCACTGCGCCACTCAGGAGACATCGCTTGTCTGTCACAAATGTTGAATAAAATTATATTTGAACTCTACCAATTGTCCGTGGGGTTGGTTTTCATAAAGGGTGGAATTTGAGACAAGTTATTGCTTGTTTGTGCACATATGGCGCACGTCCAGGAATTTTATTTTGACAAGAGGAAAGCAGAGAAGAAGTGGGTCTACAACAGACCCACGTTTGGAAAGTCTGTTTAATAATACGTTCCTTTGGATATTTTGTCTCAAATTCCACCCTATAGAAGAACCAACCCCACAGACAATTGGTAGAGTAAGTTCAAATATAATTTTATTCAACCTTCGTGACAGACAAGGGACATTTAGGTTTTCATCTATGTAATAATGTGTGGCCCTCCTGTCCAGGGACTGGATAGCATGGTCACGTCGGGATTATGGCTGATATAGATAGAGGCACTTGCAATGTGTGCCCTTCTGTGGTGCCATGGGCAATCATACATAACATCACTGTCATCTTCAAACACTGAACAGATAGGTCTTCTTAGGCTTTGTAAATGAAACGCTTGTGGCTGTATCTCTGGGAAAACGTAAGAAACATTGCAGTGCTGTCTACCTACAGTAAAGACAGCCTCATTGTAAAAGGTAAAGATTCATTGAGGTAATGTTGAGCTTACCCAAATATTTTGGTATGCCTAGCCCCCAGGTTAATTGGGCGGAAGTGTCCTGTGATGAAGGAGATGCAATGGTGTGAGATGGTGTTGAGCTGACATTGGATTCAAACTTTCAAGCCAAAATCTTATATAGGCTTTCTCAGCGTAAACATTTCTGTCTGTGGGTAAACAATAAGAAAGAACGAAATGTGATTGATTGATGTTAAAATATCACTAAGTATTTACTGTGGAAAGAAATGCCCATGCGATTTGAGGTAGGTGATCAACCCAGAACCAAACGGCAACGTATTGTTCCTTTTTATACTCCGTAGTTACGTCATCAAAACAAGCCAGAGTCGGGCGGTTATCACTAGTTACCACAGCCACAAAGTCAGATAGCTATATCGTAGATTTATGTATTTTTTGTTATTGTTGCTTTTTGGTCTTAAGTTAAGGTTAGGGTTAAGCATGTTTAGCTGTGTAGTTAAGGTTGGGGTTAAAGTTAGGGTCAGGTTTAAAATCAGATTTTAAAAAGAGAAATTGTAGAAATAGGCGGGGTTTAGCCATAATTATGACGTTGTGGCTGTGGTAACTAGTGACGAACGAGTCGAGTGGCATGGGGATCGAATTGACACATTTCTGACCTTCACTTGAACAGTTATCCAATAAAGTAAGTGGATTTGCCTATTTATATCTTGACATTAAAAGAGCATTACTGTTAAGTTCAATGTTGAGGTTGCTGTTTTGCCTGTGTGCTTTTTTATTCATGACAATGCGAAGTCAGATGATCAAGAAATGCTAACGTTAACTAGCAAGCTAACGTTAGTTGGCTGTCCAATCTATTTGGTGGTGTCATCACAGTTTATAGTCTTTGGTTATATACTAAATGTTAAGTCTTTGGTCATATACTTTAAATAGGTGCGAGGCTGATCAGTTAAACAACCATAATGCAACTGTGTCATCATATTTAACTTGTGTGTGTGTATAATGTGTTCTAGGAATTTGTAAGCCTTAGCAGGATGTCTGTGAAACAGGCATCGGTCCATGCTAAATGGATCATCGGCAGAGTGATCGGGACCAAGATGCAGAAGACAGCAAAAGTTAGAGTCACCAGGCTGGTTCTGGACCCATACCTGCTCAAGGTAAACACAGACAGGGCCAGCCCAGTGTCACAGGCGGGATTTCCCACGGCAGAAAAATACATATTGACCATTAGACCAAGAGGAAATCCCCTCTTGGGCCGAGGGTGACACTGATTTTGAAGTTGCAGGCAGGGCTACCTCATCACGAGACAATGAGCCCGACTCATGTCCGCTACATTAGTACCCTGGGCCAGTCCAGCGCATTCACTTAATAGGTGCATCTCTAAGGAGGCGACCTCTCCTTGTCGGCTTTACTTCATCTGCCCTGATGTAAAAATATAACTAGACAGATGACGGCAAATTTGTGTAGAAAATTCTCCATAATGCTTTGATTATTTCTCTCTTAATCAATGCTGTTATACTGTCATGTTGAGCTTCTTTTTATTCAGGGCACGGTAACATCTACCATCCCTAGTTGTCCAACAACTGTACCGGTCCTCACTCCTCATTTTCACCTCTCTCTCTTACAGTACTACAACAAGAGGAAGACCTACTTTGCTCACGATGCCTTGCAGCAGTGCACCGTGGGAGATATAGTCCTTCTGAAGGCCCTTGCGGAGCGCAGGTCGAGACACGTGAAACATGAACTGGCAGAGATAGTCCACAAGGTGGGCAACGTGGTGGATCCCCTGACGGGGAAGAGGGTGGCGGGGAGTGAGTTTCTAGAGCCCCTCACTGACCCCCCACACAGTCTGGAGCAGGAGGGGACAACTCTAACAGAGAAATTAAAGGAACTCAACATCTCTGCTGCTGCCTCTTCAGGTGCAACCTTGGTCAAGTCATCCACAACCGCACCTTGACTTTGCGTCATTATTTGATTGGGATGATTTGTATTTTGTATAGCTACTGTTTTTTTCAAACTCAAAGCGCTTGACGTTGTATGGGGGTGTAACTAATCACCAATTCTACCTGCTATTTTTTAATGTTTTTCTTTGTCATTGATTATGTTGTCTTGGTTTATATGCAGTTCTGCCATCAAGTCTCATATTTTTCCATATTTAAATTCAAGGTGAATTCAATTGATTTTTTTCGGGTGTTGTATAGTTCAGCTGTTTTGAAATCCGGGTGTAAATCTATCAATCACATCCAATGCCATACAATTATATTTTATCATTGAATAAAAAGACCTCAATGGAAAAACAGTAATTTCCCGCTGCATTTATTCCCCCACATAAGCCTACATAAAACTGTTGATACAGTATATCGCAAAACAAACTTTTGCTTCAATCATTCTGATTTATGTTGATCAGAGGCATGCATTTAATTCTTATTTTGATAAAAGATCATTCAGATCATTTTCACGTTGACACATGCATTTTTGTAGGGCCATATTCAGCATCCAGTGGTCACTTTTTCCGATTTTTAGGTACTGATGAATGTGGCTTTACCGCCATCTAGTGGAAGCAGTTGATATTCCATTTTGTAGTACCTGGAACGTTTTAGCACAGAGTTTCTAAACCCAAAGGCGAGACATCCGCGAACGTTTGCGACCAGACCGGGGTTTGGGGTTCGAGAAGTCAATGAGAGAAGTGAAAAATTATTTCTTAGTTGTAACACCTCTGAAAAATATACTGTAACCTACCTCGGTATAAACATCACCAAAAATCGTAAGGCTGTGAATGATCTTAATTTGAATCCTGTAACTGAATCTATCAAAAATAATTGTTCCTCATGGTTAGGGAGGGATTTATGTCTTCAAGGGAGGATGCTTTTATCCAAACCTGAGGGGCTATCTTTTTGCTTCTATTGACATTCCCAAATCCACTTGCTGTACCTTAGATAGGCCATTGTACAACTTCATATGGAAAAACAAGCCACATAAGATAAAAATAGATGTTATCACCAACAGGGTTTGTGATGGCGGTCTAAATGTCTTAGACTTCACTCTCTTTAATCACATATCAACAGTCAAATGGGTTAAAAGGTACTTTAAAAATCCTCCGTTTCTGGAATATTATACAGTGGGGCAAAAAAGTATTTAGTCAGCCACCAATTGTGCAAGTTCTCCCACTTAAAAAGATGAGAGAGGCCTGTAATTTTCATCATAGGTACACGTCAACTATGACAGACAAATTGAGGAAAAAAATTCCAGAAAATCACATTGTAGGATTTTTTATGAATTTATTTGCAAATTATGGTGGAAAATAAGTATTTGGTCACCTACAAACAAGCAAGATTTCTGGCTCTCACAGACCTGTAACTTCTTCTTTAAGAGGCTCCTCTGTCCTCCACTCGTTACCTGTATTAATGGCACCTGTTTGAATTTGTTATCAGTATAAAAGACACCTGTCCACAACCTCAAACAGTCACACTCCAAACTCCACTATGGCCAAGACCAAAGAGCTGTCAAAGGACACCAGAAACAAAATTGTAGACCTGCACCAGGCTGGGAAGACTGAATCTGCAATAGGTAAGCAGCTTGGTTTGAAGAAATCAACTGTGGGAGCAATTATTAGGAAATGGAAGACATACAAGACCACTGATAATCTCCCTCGATCTGGGGCTCCACGCAAGATCTCACCCCGTGGGGTCAAAATGATCACAAGGACGGTGAGCAAAAATCCCAGAACCACACGGGGGGACCTAGTGAATGACCTGCAGAGAGCTGGGACCAAAGTAACAAAGCCTACCATCAGTAACACACTACGCCGCCAGGGACTCAAGTCCTGCAGTGCCAGACGTGTCCCCCTGCTTAAGCCAGTACATGTCCAGGCCCTTCTGAAGTTTGCTAGAGTGCATTTGGATGATCCAGAAGAGAATTGGGAGAATGTCATATGGTCTGATGAAACCAAAATATAACTTTTTGGTAAAAACTCAACTCGTCGTGTTTGGAGGACAAAGAATGCTGAGTTGCATCCAAAGAACACCATACCTACTGTGAAGCATGGGGGTGGAAACATCATGCTTTGGGGCTGTTTTTCTGCAAAGGGACCAGGACGACTGATCCGTGTAAAGGAAAGAATGAATGGGGCCATGTATCGTGAGATTTTGAGTGAAAACCTCCTTCCATCAGCAAGGGCATTGAAGATGAAACGTGGCTGGGTCTTTCAGCATGACAATGATCCCAAACACACCGCCCGGGCAACGAAGGAGTGGCTTCGTAAGAAGCATTTCAAGGTCCTGGAGTGGCCTAGCCAGTCTCCAGATCTCAACCCCATAGAAAATATTTGGAGGGAGTTGAAAGTCTGCGTTGCCCAGCGACAGCCCCAAAACATCACTGCTCTAGAGGAGATCTGCATGGAGGAATGGGCCAAAATACCAGCAACAGTGTATGAAAACCTTGTGAAGATTTACAGAAAACGTTTGACCTGTGTCATTGCCAACAAAGGGTATATAACAAAGTATTGAGAAACTTTTGGTTATTGACCAAATACTTATTTTCCACCATAATTTGCAAATAAATTCATTAAAAATCCTACAATGTGATTTTCTGTATTTTTTTTCCTCATTTTGTCTGTCATAGTTGACGTGTACCTATGATGAAAATTACAGGCCTCTCTCATCTTTTTAAGTGGGAGAACTTGCACAATTGGTGGCTGACTAAATACTTTTTTTCCCCACTGTACCTCATTTTGTTTTTCAGAAGCTCGGCGGGCTTAATTTTTTTACTACAATGTCCCTATATTGTGGGTAAACTTCCTGTGAAATTGGCGGCTTTTCACAAGCAGGCTTTAATGTGCTGGGCTTTGCTGTAAGAACACAACTTTTCACCTCATAAATGTTTTATATGGAATAATGGGTCGATATTACATAGAAACAAGATGTTATTTTACTGTAACTGGTTCTCGAAAAACATTGTCCTTGTCAATTAGTTAGTATTAGTGGGAATCTATTTACACAGAGAGAATTTATGGAAAGATAAAACTTTGAGGTTTCAAGCAAGGAATATGACACTGTTATAAAAGCTATACCTAGTGGGATAAAATCTTTACCTCAAGATACTGCATATTTTGGAACAGCTATTGTAAGCGATATCCAAGTGAATGGCATAGGTTTACTAGATAAGAAATGTAATAATTGTTTTTTAACGGATATTTCCGACAGGAATTCTATTCCTTCTGCTATATTTTATTGGGCTTCATCGTTTGATGTAAACTGGCGCCGTGCTCGGCTCACTCCACACAAATTTATGGTGACCAATAAAGTAAATGAGATCTCCTTTAACCCTCCCGTTGTCCTAGGGTCAAAATGACCTGCCACTGTGTTAAACCAACTTTATTTAATTTTTATATTTTTTGGATCATTTGTGAGAAGGAGGCAGTGATACTTTCTTTAAAGTCTCACTGCCTCCTTCTCACAAATGATCCCTAAAATATAAAAATTAAATAAAGTTGGTTCAATACAGTGGCGGGTCATTTTGACCCTAGGACAACGGGAGGGTTAAGATGATCCATAGATTCTACCCATGTAATAGACTGATTTCTAAATATATACCTGATGTTACTAGTGAATGCAGTTTTTGTGAACTAGAAACTTAATCTATTGAACACTTATTTTGTAATTATTTACATAGTGAGGTGTTCTGGACTGATGTACAACTATACCTTGGCAACAAAATGCATACAACCATTGAAATATTGGTTTGACATAATATTTTACTACACTGATTCCACAATTGAACGTCAGTATGTCATACATCTCTTTATTTGATTAGGAAAATGTTTCATACACAAATCAAAATCTGATTTGGAAAACTATTTAGCATCATTAAAACGTATACAAAACAAAATGTCCCAAAAAATGTTATTAGTTACATGTCTGTATTTGATTTGATATAATGTGGATTTGTATTAATATATATTTTGTCTCTCTCTTCCTTATTTATTTGTGTAATCCCTCTGGCTGTTCTGTTTTTTGTGTTTTACATTTTACTGTTTAATAATAATAAAATAAAATAAATTACAAAATAAAAAATATAAAAAAATATAATTATATATAAGTGTGATTTTGCAACCTAATTTTGTCGAAATCTAAACGCACAACCTAGATTCGAGCAGTTCAACGTATTTATCCAACCTCGTGAACGTGACAAACTGGTACGTTTTCATTTTCGTCAAAAACAATAGGCGATATGCACAGGCGAGCATGACGTATTTCCGGTTAAATCTCAGGATGGATGTAAACTTCCGGTTATCGTAGAATGCTGTGCTACCGTATGCTAGCATTGAATGCTTGTCGTCAAAATAATCCGAAACGGTTAATTTTCGTCGTTGTTTATCTTAATGTTTATGTTAATGTTTTTACTTGTAATACTTCGTCTTGACTTATAACACGATGACGTGTAAACGTATGAAAGTGTCCTTTCAAAAACGGGATGACAGCTCTTCCAGCCATCACTGCTGTGTGCCGCAATGTACAGTGTCTGCCAGATGCAATTCTTCTGTTAGTTTTTTTACTTTTCCCAAAGACAGTGAATTACATAAACGGTTGGTGATTAACATTCGACGAGTCAACTTTCTTACAACAAACACGAGTCTGCAGCCGACACTTTCTAAGTGAAGATGTGATAGAGCCTCCGACTCCAGCTGGGCGCAGGCGTCTGAAGAAGTCACAGACAGAGAACTGAGGTGAAGCTTTTCTTGATCCGTCATGATCTCGTATGAACAGTCTGTTGGTTGTAAATGGTAACCGTCCAGTGGCACTTTTGGGAATGGTGGTGCATCCTCATGGATGACAACACTGTCAGGTGGAGGTGGTGGGTGTTGATGACAGGATACTGCCAGTTTGTACCTTGCCAAAAATGGAGTCCACGAGTGGTTTGTCAGATGTGATGTTCATTCTGCAGATAAGGGGAAGAGAGTCTGGTTCCATGTCAGCATAGGAAGGTAGTGGGTTGAGGGTTGATGGGTCTGGTAGCTCACCGCTGTAGCCCTTGTAAATGTAGATCTGGAATAACAATATCAGGAAAAGTAAAGGGTTCACTAGGAAATACACCAGAATCTAACAGCGATTAATAACATTTATTTCGCAACACATTGTAGTCTGCCTATTTAATTGGACTCTGCATACCTAATTCCGCTTGCTGGAGTAGCATCTGGTTTGGGCTTCACTACAACCATGGCATCCACAGGTCCTGGCTTTTGCACAATGCCCTCCTGGCTTTTCAACGATTGCACAATGCCCTCTTGCACATGCAGGGAGA